CTGCAGCAATGCTAGCAGCTCTGTAGGCCTGTACAGCAGTGCTTTGAGCGACGCGCTAACATGCACGCAGTGACAATACTAACATGCGGATGTCAAGTCACTGGTCACACCTTGATTAATCTGCTTTATACTGTGGAACTTTTTTTCTAGTATTTTTGTTATCTTTTATTTTAAGAAAGTATTTCTTCATTGTGGGTTGGCTAAGGTGTGAGCTCTGTCTTAACTCTACTGTTATCTAAACCCAGCTGACTGCAAGGTGGAATAGCTCGTTAGCCGATACACGTAAAACAGAACAGCTTTGGAGAGTTTTTGTTTTAATGGAGCTAGGCTAGCAAGTTTCCACCTGCTTCCAGTCTTTTTGCTAAGTTAAGGCTAACACATCCTGAACTCCCTACTGGACGTGCAGAGATGAAACTTCTCTGACCCATCTTCTTATCTGATAGAAGACAAAGAATGAGGATTTCCAGAAATGTGGGACTCTTCCTTTAATAGCATACAAAGTGATCAGGCAGTGAGGGGACTGAAAGACTGAGGGTCAGAATGCACTCAGTTTTATTGGGAACATAATTCATCCCGGTATTTTCTGTGTCGTTTCAATTGACCTTAATACACTGAGGGACTTTCAGGACAGAGTGGGGGGGGGCTTCGGTAATAAACTGCCCCTCATTATAGGACAGAAATAGACACGAGGTGACTGACAGGAGAGATGAAGCAGAAAAACACAAGCTGTGGATTTTTCTGTTTCACCTGTTTCTGATTTTACATTCAGGATGTTGTCGGACTTACAGACAAATAACTTAAATAAAACTGCCAACAGCAGTCAGGTGCTTGTAGGTCGCTGGGCGACAAAATGAACCACTGTTTACTAGGATGACTTTACTGTGATTTAAAAGGATTTTTAAAACGTGTTTCACCTGTAGCTTCTTCAGATTCCTTGGCTGAGCGAACCTGAGGAAGCTACAGGTGAAACGCATTGTTCGCTCCTAATAAATCACAGTAATTCATCGCCATTCCAGTGTGCAGTGGTTAATGTAGATTTTTTACTTTTTTTTTCCTATTGTATTGTTAAGTGCAGATGCCTGTTTTTACCTTTTGTTTCAGACCTCGCCTGCTTGGTGAAATATAAACCAATAATACCAACAATAATTGGTTATAGATTAACCATAATTCTACTGTGATTTCAGTGTGTTTTATAAACCTATGAAACGGGTTCAAATGTTGCTTCAAATGTTGCATTCAGCTGTCAAGCCTGATTACATGAGACATGAAAGACTGAAAACGTTTTGCAAACTTTTGTTTTGTAAATTTTTTTAAAATGTATTTGTTACTTTTATTTGATAATAAATATACAGAACACTTGAGCAGAATTAAACCAGGGAATTTGTGATTACATGGTACATGAGGCTACAAGGGTTTAATACAGAACATGATCAAAATAACATCTTTACTGAGTTTTATATATATATATATATGAGTTTCTATTGCTTTATTTATTATTATTATATTAGTTATTGGACATCAGATTGTCCCTGAATGCACCACGAGATGTTTTCAAAGTGTTACCACAACAAAAAACACAAGCTAATCGCTGTAATGAATAGAATATTATAAATTTTTTATGTTGTAATAAAATGTCTGGAAACAAGTGGCTTGTGTTTGAACTCTGCTTGTTCTGCTCATTGTAACCAGGTCTGATCATGTCTGCTGTGACCGTCATCATCCTCATCCTCTACTTTGTGATTGACACGTTTGCCGTCCAGGGTCGGACCTGGGTGGCCGAGTGCACCCCAATCTATATCCAGTATTTCGTCAAGTTCTTCATTATTGGTGTGACGGTGCTGGTGGTGGCGGTTCCTGAGGGGCTGCCGCTCGCCGTCACCATCTCTCTGGCCTACTCTGTCAAAGTAAGCAAGGATGGTGGAGGTCTGGGGGGGGGATTCATCAGTCATTTCATTAACTTTAAGGCCAGGTCATTTTGTTTCCAAAACTACGTCTAAAATCAAACCTCAGCCTGTAACCTTGTTCTCCGTACTTTAGAAAATGATGAAGGATAATAACTTGGTGCGTCACCTGGACGCTTGCGAGACGATGGGCAATGCAACAGCCATCTGCTCGGACAAGACGGGCACACTGACCATGAACCGCATGACGGTGGTGCAGGCGTACGTCGGTGACACGCACTACAAAACGGTGCCAGAGCCGGACGCCATCAAACCAGAGACTTTGGAGATTATGGTCAACAGCATCTCCATCAACTCAGCGTACACCACCAAGATCCTGGTAGGACCTTCACTGTCACAGTTACACATAACCACAATACTAACGCAAACATGAACCTAATTTTAACCATAACCCTAAAACCCGGTCTGAGACAGCCCTTTGAAGAAGTGAGGACTGGATAAAATGTCCTTTTTTTCCAAAAATCTCAAGTTCAGAAGTAGGAGAGTAGACATACATTATCATCAATCTTTCCATTCTAGCAGTTATCACTGAAAGCTGTGGCGGATTCATCATTAAAGTTTTATAGTAGTCTTTTGGCATTGAGGACGGGGAGGAACAGGAGTTTTTGGCTAACATAATGCTTACTCGGGTAATAAGTCTGGCTGGAGTTGGGTAAACTTTCCCAAATGTAATAAAGAGCAAATCAGATCCACAAAAAATAGACTCAGACAAGTGTTTGTGTGAGTGAATGTACATTAAAATCAAACCTAACTTCAGCTGTACATACAGAAGTAGTGCTCCTCATTGTCTGTGATAACACAAAACTGATTTTAAACTTTAACATCACATCCAAACCTTTTCCCTTTTCTCAGCCTCCGGAGAAAGAAGGCGGCCTGCCCCGCCACGTGGGCAACAAGACCGAGTGCGCTCTGCTGGGCATGGTGCTGGAACTGAAGAGGGACTACCAGCCAATCAGAGACGAGGTCCCCGAAGAGAAAATGTACAAGGTTTACACCTTTAACTCGTCACGCAAGTCCATGAGCACAGTGTTGAAGAACGCTGATGGAGGTTACCGCATGTACAGCAAAGGCGCGTCAGAGATTGTCCTGAGAAAGTAAGAAAGGAGCTCAAATAAACTAAAATAAATAAATACAGCACAAGGTAACGCGTGGCATTTTTCACCTAATGATCTCCCTCCCCTTCCTCTCCTCTCCTCTCCTCTCCTCTCCTCTCCCAGATGCTCGCGTATATTGGATGCCCAGGGTCAGCCTCGCATCTTCAAGCCCAAGGACCGTGACGAAATGGTGCGTAAGGTGATTGAGCCGATGGCGTGTGACGGGCTAAGGACCATCTGCGTGGCTTACAGAGACTTTCCGGCCGAGGCTGGAGAGCCGGACTGGGAAACTGAGAACGACATCCTGAATGACCTGACCTGCATTGTTGTGGTCGGAATCGAGGACCCCGTCAGACCTGAGGTACAGAGCGCCTGAAAACACTTCCTATAATTAACACCTGATGCTGGCTTAGGTTTATGTCTGGGAAGCAGGGGCATTGACGACAATATTGGACATATTGGTCATTTTCGTATTTCGTCATCAGTTCATCCCCATAAGAATAGATTTGATCTGGCAATGATTGCTCTGTTTAATGTTCAGACGTACTGTAGACACTATAATTTTTTTAAGGCCAATATGGCCGTTAATATTCAAGAATAATACAAAATTAACTGATAGTAGAAGTCACACTAGACTGCTAACAAATGGTTGCTACGGCCCACCAGACTCCATTGACAAAACCAGTAATTTTACCTTGCAGGTAATCATACAAAACACAAAAAAACAAAATAAAACTCAAGACCAAAACTAGTCTTTCCATAGTATTTTTAACAATCACCAACGCTGGTTTGGTTGAAATTAACCCTGACCCAGAGTGTCTGACAACATTATGGAAAGGACCCCTACAGAAATGGACCTTTTGTTCAGTGCTCTTAATCAGTGCTGGTACGTGACATAAAGACCTGGTAATATTGTTATATAAATCTGTGCGCTCTGTATTATTATGGTAATGTTGTTTCCTTTAATCTGTGCTAGTGGTAGCATGTAGATGTTGAACAGAAAAGGTACAAGAATTTTTGTACGCTGTGTAAATGCCGATGGACACAAAGCAGTCTCTGTAGTCGCTGCACAAATGAGAAGCGATCAAAGCATTTCTATCTGTTCTAAATCTCTATGCTTTAAGGTGGAATGAAAAGCATGCAAGTCTAAGGAAATCCCCCAGGCTGCATCCCACTGCCTCCACAATCCCTCTCTGTCTTTTGTCTGTGACAGTGTCATGAATCTTACAAATGAGCATAATGGCGCACACTTTCATACAGTAATTTCTCATTCACGATGTTGCACTCGGGTTGTTCACTTGATCTGGCGTCAGTGGCTCTATTTGATAATCAGCAGTTAGGGTTAAAAACTGTTTTTACTCATAAAATATTGAGTTTGGTTCAGTTTGAAATGTCCTCCATGCACTGTAGATATAAAGCAGTTTCAATGAAGTTCAGCCTATTCCTGAAAGAACATATAGTTCACATCTTTATCTTCACATGAAGAGTGTAACTGAACTGATCTGACAGTCTGCTCATAATTATATTGTAGTATTGTTTGTGTTATGAGGATAAATGACGTTAAAAACATTCAATAGTCAGACAGTATTTTCCTAATATAAAGCCTTAAGTCCTGGTCAGGTGTGCAGAGAGTCTGGATGCTGTGAGGTGTTAAATGAAGCCTGTAATGAAGCCCAGAAAGCATCAGTGCTGCCTGCTGCTTTAATGTCAGAGCACAAAGATCACAGACAGGATGGAAATAACCAGAGAGCAGCAGGAGTCAGTCAGCAGCTCAACATTTATCTCTACACGACCTGTGATGTGATGGACACAGGACTCTTCAGAATATTTTAGCTTTTTTATTTTAGGCATTAAATTATTCTTACAGTTCTTATTCTAACGAGTATCTATGAGAAAGGTCTGCAGCGTTATGTATTTCATCCGTAAACCGAGACAGTTTAAAGTGGACAGAAATATATTGACCCTCTTCTATCGATCTGTTGTGGAGAGCATTTTAACTTTATGTTTTATTGCCTGGTATTTTTCATTGTCGGTAAATAATAAAAACAAATTGCATAAAATAGTCACTATGTCCAGTAAGGAGTGTATGATGAAGACCTGTAAATATGAGCAGTTACCATCAGACAGACAGTATTTTTTAAAGTGGGGGCTGGGGAAGAATTAAATAAAATGCAATTATTACCTCTTTAATATGTGTATTATTATAAAATATAATTTATAGGAATATATAACATATCAAAACCTTATTGTACTGTATAGTATTTATATATATTCAGTATAGCTTTTAAAGACATCTTTTAAAGGGGGGCCTCGGCTATAAGCTAGTGCTGTTTGGGGGCCCTCAGCATATTATATTTGTCTGTTTATTATCCACTTTAACATATAAAGAAATCTAAAGACTGGTCATCCAACCTCTTCACTCCTTCACTCAGGTCAAGGCTCCCCTCTGCATGACACACATACGATGTGTGTGTATCTGTAAGGAAACACAGAACCCCTGCTGGTTTCCATCAAATGCCAGTTGAGCCACCTGATGAGCAGGGGGGAAGTGTCCAACAGATTTCTGATTCTCAGTTGACGGTCATATTGCCATGAGCTCCTCACAGAGGTCCGACTATACTGTATCTCTTTTTATTCACTCTGTGTTCTGAGATGAATGAGGACTAGAGATTAGGATAAGAACAGCAACAGTGGGATCTCAGATAAAACCTGCTGCTGCTGTTGCATGATAGATGAGTCTAATCCCACATGTTGGCATCTGTGTCTGTTTTATCATGCATCATTTCAGCTAAATAAACCAAAAAACTCACAATAACACAGGGTTGGTTGGTTTGATGAGCGAACGTCCTTGGATCCTCTCATCAAAAGCATCTTTAAACCGATGGATAAATCAGGAAAACAAGCTAATGAGTTTCTGTGACCTTCTGGACTCTCTGACCTTTCTGACTCTCTTCCAGGTACCTGAGGCTATTACGAAGTGCCAGCGTGCGGGCATCACTGTACGTATGGTTACTGGAGACAACATTAACACCGCCCGTGCCATCGCAACCAAATGTGGCATCATTACGCCCGGGGAGGACTTCCTGTGTATGGAGGGCAAGGAGTTCAACCAGCAGATCAGAAACGACCAGGGAGAGGTGAGACGAGTACAGAAATCTTTTACTGCAGCCAACAAGTGTGACATTCAAATTTTACCTGGAGCTGTGTGAAGTGTTGACCACAGCAACTGAGCCTGGATGTAATTTTGGCTTATCAAATCTTTGTCCCTAACACATAGAGCAGTCAAAGAGCAACATCATTATCCCATTAGAGTCCAGCAGGTTGTTGCAGCAGCTGTGTGTAAGTTAGTTTCATCGTGGCGTGGGAGTAAACACTATTAAATTAAACTATAAACTATACACTTTCCTCAGCTGGTGGAAATTACTTCTTACTAACTGCTGTCACTGAAACAGTTATAAGGGAGTAAAGAACTACTTGGTTGTTTGTAAGAGAACCATGTCACTGTTTAGGTGTTTACTAATGCAGAATCTTTTATGCCAAGATAAAGTTTTCCATGTTGGTTTATATTGTTATTACACAGTTTACCTGTGGGAGCAACGTGGGGGATGTCGTAGCCTTTTGAAACGTTGTGAAACCAGTGTGATACCTGAATGACATCGGCACAGGCTGATGTGTTTACTGCTGTTACCTCTAGCTTTACTTGGTCCATGCTTATAAAATATATCGTGGCTGCGTCTCTCTGGACCGTAAAGGACAGATAGATCAGGGGGGAAGATTGTCCACTAGGTAATGGATAGCAGATACTTGTACTGGGCGTGAGAAATGCTGTGTTGTGGTGTTTTGGTTCATTATGAAACTGTGGCGGGACAAATTGGACAATATATACAGATATATATAGTATTATTTATGAGCATATTTATGTGTGATACAGCCATACTCGCCATAGGACCAATCAATAAATGATCGTTGAATTATTAATGTGGTAACAGCTCATCCTATATATTGGCTAGTTGACACAGGAAAGCATACATTACTTTATATGTTTTAATAAAAATTAATGAGACAATGTTGAAGAGAGTTATGATGCTACGGCTGTTGTGTTAAAATGTTTTTATTAAACTATTGGCACATTTTATATATTTCTAGGTGGAACAAGAACGTCTGGACAAAGTTTGGCCGAAACTGCGCGTTCTTGCTCGTTCTTCACCAACAGACAAACACACTCTGGTCAAAGGTGGGATTCAGTATTATAGGATGTTTTCTGTTTAGCATGTTGTACAGCTGCTTATATGTTTATGTGTCCTTGTGTAGAAGATAAATGTAGTTTTAAGCCTTGTATATCATATTGGTTGAACTCTAATTGAAACACACCAAATAGTCATTACATTTTTGTGATTTTAAAGTTACGACAGGAGGAGAGAATGAATTTGTTCTTCATGTCTTTTCTGAAATATTCATACGCTCATTTAAATGGAGATTTTTTCCCCCCGCCCTGTTGATCAGGTATTATTGACAGCACAGTGGGTGAGACTCGGCAGGTGGTGGCAGTGACAGGAGACGGTACCAACGACGGCCCCGCCCTCAAGAAAGCTGATGTTGGCTTTGCCATGGTAACCACTTCTTCATTTTTCCACCTTTTCACTGTTGTTTTTTTCTTTTCTTCTCACAGCTCTTCACTCATCTGCTGCTCCAGTTCTGCATCATTACCGAAAGGAATGAAAAAAAAAGCCCTTTGAGTTAATTACATTTCTAATGCAGCCATGAAATAGGAATTTTACATCATCCACAATAGCTCTTGAGTTTAATGCCGTGGATTTATTAAGATAGCTGTGAAATGGAATAATAAATCAATAAATGTTGAGCTTGGTTGTCTCTGCTCATCTGCACAGCGGGGCCCCAGTGTGTGACAACGTTACTGTGCTTATTCTTTAAAGACCGAAACACAGAGGGACAACATGGAGAATGGCTGTGTCTTTTATATTTTTATCTCACGGCTGTCTAATGTAGAGTAAATAATATCAGTGCTAGTCACAGACAGTTAAGCATACATTAGTTAACAATATCCTGATCCCTCATCTATATAGCCAAATTATCTGATTTTTGAGAGCCCACCATAGTCTAAAAGTCTAATAATGTATGATGTGCCCAGCTACTACGTGAAGTGACTGTGATTAAGCCTGTAAATAATAATACTATGCACTGTCCCTGCCAAATAAAGTAATAAACTAAGAGGTTTGTGGGCTCTGATGCAGTTGTAAACCAGCAGCAGCTCTTAACTCACCTAAGAAATATTGCTGAAATTGAGACTGATTGAAACCAGCTGTGCACACTGTCAGAGTGTTTGTCAAATATCAGCAGCTGATATTTGTTCAGATCCTTTGTTCTGTTGGATCATAAAAAAAAAAAAAGATTCATAGTGCGTCAGTTCTCCCAGCTGACACCAGTGCACAAAGAGTTACTGTCCACTGACCAAATGATCAGCTGATATTGATCAATTAAAACCAGTACAGGGTCTCTGGATGAGCTCAGTGACATCAGCTGCCTCCTGTGAGTTGTTGTGACCTTTATTTATTAAGGAGAGCCATCCGAACACCAGTGTCTCCTGCAGGCTGCCGAGCAGCTGTTGCGCTGTCAAGCAGCACTCTGTCAGTAGTTACTTTTCCTAAACACATCAAGGAGGCAGTCTTGGGATTTAAACCAGTACAGACCTTCCAGTACTAATGCGTCCCATTTGGAATATTTTCAGTTTGCACCCAAGTGTCCCCGTTCAATTATCACCTGTTCAGCTGGAGAACAGAGAGCCATCCACCTCCATCTGCCTGGAAGAGTCTGACTCTGCAGAGAGACACAGGAACTCACATCACAGCTTCTTTATGGTTACTGCTAACACGAGACTCGCTCTTCAGTCATGTGTTAATGTGTGTTATTGTCACATCTTTGTACACACTAGCTGCGTTATTCTTAAAACCAGTCAAACTCAAACCACCAGGGAGGGAGGGAGGGGGGGACTGGCCACGTTGTTCTCTCTAAGAAAACTAGGTACATTTCTATTAAATCCAGTCTGACCTGAGCAGCTGGTCTTTCCCTCTCCTCTCTCTGTCATACGCCTTCGCAGGTAACAGAAGATTGATGCAGCTGAGACTGTATTCCTGAGCCCACCAGCTCTGAAAAATATCCACCTCTCATGAAACTGTGCTCCAGCTGGACCTTTCCTTTAGGTTTGGAAAGAGATAATATGGTGTCAGTTGTCACAGTTGAGGTGTTTATGTTGACGATAAATGAGTCAGGAGCAGTTGAACCAAAGAATGATTTTCCCCTCTGAGGTTGAAACAAGCTGTAATATCTGTAGCAGAAATATATAGTTCTCTACTTTCCTGCTCTGTTCATTATCTCACGACCCCTCAGATTCATCTTGTGACCCCCCTGGGGGTTCCCGACCCTGGTACACCACTAAGGTAGAGTTTGCTTTAGTTTTAGATGTGAAGTGAAAAAATCCAATTTCATGTTGAGACTTTGCAACCTTGCTAGAAAATTAAATGATTGTTCTGATACCAAAGACCGTGGAAAAATCTAAATGGGAGCTGAGGCTCTGAGAGAACAACAGATAACCGACAGTAACGTTCAATTTAAGCAAATAATGATGATGTAGCCTGAGGTGTCATTAGCCCAAATCTGCAACGCAGATACGTTTAATGAGAATTATATTAATGTCTGATTTATTCCATTTTGAAAGGAAAAAGGATCAGATAATACTCCAATTAAATACCACTTTTTTTCTTTTAGACACAGTGTTTGAGCCTTTGACCAGCAGATACTGTTTGATATTTGAGTTCTTTGTCATCCAGTCATACTTGTTAGTTACAAAAGATGCGGCAGCTCATGGAATGATTCCTGCATTTAGATTCATTTAAATTAATTCTAACATAAAATGCACCGTGTCATCAGTTAGAGGATGTGTGGCAAGCCAAGCCCACTGGTTTATACTGAAGACTAAAACCATTAAAAACGGAAACGTAAATGTATAGTTTAATCAAATCAGTGAATGCTTCTTAAACAGGAGGAAATAGTGCATTTGTTGGGGACCATTTTTTTTATTAATACACATTTGGTGGTCTAGAGAGTCTTTCCAGCAGCAGGACCAGGCAGCAGAGTTTTTGAACAACAGTTGAATAACATAATCAGATTTTGTTGACAGTAAGGCAGTATGTATGTATGTATGTATGTATGTATGTATGTATGTACATGTTTAAGAGCAGTTGTTCCTGATCAACCAGGTCTTGTTTTCTAATTTTATTTTGGAAGCTCAACTCCTGCTGCTGACTGGTTAGTTTCCATCTAAGATCATAAACCAGGTTCTGATCGTCCCCTTCTGCTTCTTGTCAGGGAATCGCCGGCACAGACGTGGCAAAGGAGGCGTCAGACATCATCCTGACCGACGACAACTTCACCAGCATCGTTAAGGCCGTCATGTGGGGAAGGAACGTCTACGATAGCATCTCCAAGTTCCTGCAGTTTCAGCTGACTGTCAACGTTGTGGCTGTGATTGTGGCGTTCACCGGCGCCTGCATCACACAGGTAGGCTGAAAGCTACACACTGGCCCTGAAGGGAATGTGGGATTACTACAGCTGTGTCAACACCATTTTTGGTGTTTTTGCCAGTAAAGGTCGGTGGTAATATGGTAAAAAAACAAAGAGGTCAAAGAGGTCAAATGTTTAGATGCTAATGTTACATTTTGTGTAGTTCTTTCTCTACCCTCCCCTCCCTTTTTTGTGGTTTCACTGTGGTTTGTTTATACCAGAAACAAATCACAGAACTATTTGACAACAAATTAACTCAAAACGTATAAATTAAAGAGGGAAACAATGATATCAGGAAAAATGAGTCACACTACATTCAATAACAATAAACCGAGATAATAACAGTCCTTGTGACCGTTCACAAAAATAAACCGTTATTATTCACACAAATTAATCTTTTGTCCCTTTAACCTTCTGTGTTACTATATTTTACCTTTTAATGTACTTTTTGTTTAGCCATAAATACCCAAAGGCAACCCTAACTGCTGTACACAACATCAGCTACTGCACTGAGACACTGGTCTGCAGTCTCAACACATTCCACAAGAGCATGCGCAAGAGGGTTAGCCATGCAGCTAGCGGTCCTATTAGCTGAGTCTGCCCAGACTGAGAGCTCTTGGATCATCAAGGGAGTGTTGGTGTTACTGAAACAGGAGCTTTGGAACACTTGCAAACCAAATTAACAACGTAAAAGTCACTACATTTCTCTGTTCCGCAGCCAATCACGACACAGAAAAGCGGCGTGCTGTTGCATTCAGGAACCAAGAATAAAAAATAATTCATATATTTGTTTATGGGTACCCAATTCTTTGCATTTTGGGTTCTGTGGGTTATTGATGTTATTATTGAAGTCCAGGGCTGCCAGTATCAAAGTGAAATCATTCATAGGGCTGTTGCAGCGAATTAATTTCCCCTGTGGTGATTTAGGGTGACTCAACAGCCCGGTAAAGGGGTATTATCACCAGTTTTGTTGTTTTTGCTATTGACTTTGTAAAGAGGAGTTGCATTTAAAGAACAGTGAACTCTTTGGACAGTTGATGTATATGGAAGTTTTATTCTTCTCCACAGGTTTTAATATCATCAGGCTCAAATGTTTCATGTCCCTTCCATCAGTCAGCTGCTTCAACCATCAGGATGCATATGTTTGAATGAGAAAATATGTTAACTTGAGAACAAATAAAGAGACCAAAGGCAGAGTTTTGTAACATTTGCTGCATCCTGCATCCTCAGTTGTTAATTGTTCTACCGTCTCTGTGGATTTTGATGATTGAACATGAACTGAAGCTTGTGTCTTGATAGTTACATTACATCTTGAGGCTTGCTGTTGTGTTTGATGTATATGCTCTTACACTACATCTGTACATTTATTCTTGATCAAACCTCCACATAAGAAAACAAGAAAGAAAAAGCAAGTCATTTTTTTTATTTTGATGTAACCGTCTCAGAGTTGTGAGGAGGCGAGGGAGCCATGTCACATTCTTTTGTTTCATAATGTTTCTCTAATCAGGGAACTGAACTCCTGACACAATAAAAAAAGTAACTTGCGGCTGTGTATTAATTGAAAGGCTCACAGCTGGCAGGACAGATAACTAACTCATCTACAGAGTAGAGAGTACAAAGTAGGCTAAGACACAGCCTGAAACCATGGCAACACGTCACCATCATAATCCTGAAATATAACAGGGACTCAGCAGGTCTGTGGTCGCTGTGCTGTGTTTATACTCACTGATCATCCACCGCTTGGTTTCTGTTAGACCACTGACATGTTGGCACAGATCATTAAAAGACTGTAAACTGATTTATGTTTTTCATTGTATATACAGGGGAATGTTGCATCGGTGTAGGTTTGGTTTCAGATCTCGAGGGGGTCCTATAAAGTGTGTGTGTGTGTGTGTGTGTGTGTGTAAATGCTTCATTTACGCATTTGAATCAGTCTAGCAGAGAACACATTATGATATAATTGGTTATGGTGCTTAATGATGGTAGTATAAAAATGGATATGCAATGTAAATCCACTCAGAGGGAAAGTCTGTTTACAGGTCTTGGGAAATATTACCGCATATGTGATAAAAGTCTCAAGTAATGTTACTTGGAACTGCTACTAGAAGCAGGTGAGTTGCATTGTGGGTAACGTAGGCACCTGTTTTTGACTAGGGAGAAGAATGCGTGGAATAAAAAAGATGATATCTCTGATTCTGCTGCGTCTGACAATGTTAAAGCAGTGCATACTCTTTTAAAATCATTTTCAGTTTCCTTAATAGTGACCTAAACATTATGATAGATAATGTATTTACTGTCATATCTTCAAATTAAGTTAGATTCAGTGTCTCTGTAGGAGAATATTTACTGTAAATAATACTTTTAAAAACATGCAGAGAAGGTGGAAGTTCTATCATCATGCAGTAACATTGTGCTTCACATATGTATATGGTACATTTCCAAACACAGCTTGGCAGGTGTCCAAAGGCAAATACCACCAGAGGCTACAGACATCATATTATCATGTGGTGACACACACTCTGAATGTGAAGTGAATATTAGAGGTGGTGCAATTGCATATAAATTAGTACAAATTTGCACTCGGCAAACTGAACTGAGGTGAAGACTTGTTTAATTTGAGAATAACAGTGCACTTATCCCAAAGCTGTTTGACTCCACTCAAAATGTGCAAAGAGAAGTGGAAAAAGGAGGGAAATACCAGCGCAAGAACAAGATGGAGACGTTATTCACTCATATTTCCATTCATTCTGTGAATTAAACTCCCGAGCTCTCCTCCTCTTGCAGGATTCTCCTCTGAAAGCCGTCCAAATGCTCTGGGTCAACCTCATCATGGACACGCTGGCATCTCTCGCTCTGGCCACCGAGCCGCCCACCGAGTCTCTGCTGCTGCGTAGACCATACGGCCGCAACAAGCCTCTGATCTCCAGGACTATGATGAAGAACATCCTGGGCCATGCCGTGTACCAGCTCGTCATCATCTTCACCCTGCTCTTCGCTGGTGAGTTAAACAACATTCATGCTCCAACTGCAGAACTGTACAACCCATTCAACCAGAATCTGCCCGCTCGTTACTTCAGTGGAAAAATCATTATGAGCGGAGATCTGTAAGTTTTCTATTTGGAAATGCATATTAACATATTTATTATTTGTTGTCTAAAAAGTGAGGTTTTTAATAATATTAATAAAATCTTCTTCTTTCAGGTGAGTCATTTTTCGACATCGACAGCGGCCGCAACGCTCCCCTGCACTCGCCGCCGTCAGAGCACTACACTATCGTTTTCAATGTGTTCGTCATGATGCAACTGTTCAATGAAATCAACGCCAGGAAGATCCACGGAGAGAGGAACGTGTTCGAGGGCATCTACAGGAACCCAATCTTCTGCAGCGTGGTGCTGGGGACCTTCGCTCTGCAGGTAACTCTCATCATCCTCATCATCGTCACATAGATCATCATCTAATGATTCCCAAATACACATTTGGTGCTCTTGTGAATATCTCCTGCAGCAGGAGGGTGTATGTGGGATTGAGTCAAACTAAATTAGTGTGTTCGTGTTAATGGAGGAACATGTCACCCAGTGCAACAGTGTGACTCATTGATGTGTTTTTAATGGAACTCTATGGCACAGAGGAATAAGATATATCAGGCGTTGGATACACAGACTGTACTAGTTAGCAGGATCAATTCACTGTTGATTTGGGTCCGCACATGGGATCAGTTGACAATAAGAAAAATATAGAATATCAGTCTAATCCTTTAAGACTGCCAGAGTTCATTCAACATGTGTTCCTCCTCTTCCTCAGATCGTCATTGTTCAGTTCGGAGGGAAGCCGTTCTCCTGCACGGCTCTGACCATCGACCAGTGGCTGTGGTGTGTGTTCATCGGCGTGGGAGAGCTGCTGTGGGGACAGGTGAGGCCAGAACCAGAACCAGAACCATCACCGCTGTGTTTTTGTTACGAACGAATAGCATCAGAGCCAAAATGTGAAAAATCTGCCTTCTGAGAACAAACATGCAATGAGGAGAAGATGAAGAGGTGGATACATGAGGTTTGTGGCAGCAACTGTTGCCTGTCACACTTGCGCTGCTGCGGGGTTGCCATCACAACCATCGCCATGGTAATGAGCTCAGCACATGAAAGCAGCGCAACTCCTGTTTACAAGCACAGAGGGAAAACAAACCCAGCGTGTCAGTCCCTCTGTGGTTACACACACGCACTCGAACACACCATCATATGCATGATCCTGTTAACATGTACACACATACACACACACACACACACACACACAGAGGCTTAGAAAGCATACATTATATAGAACAAAAAGTTCAGACGTGAAAAGAAGTGTGGTGGGTTCAGTTGGAGGGCAGAGACGGAGAACAGAGACACAGAAAGATGCTGACAGAAACGGGCTGATCTGAGGTCTGTGGTTTATTTTAAAATGCCTTTTGTTTCTAACAGAAAGAGAGAAAGTGACAGAAATATAAGAGGCTGATGATGTGCAGCTATAGAGGGAGGCTGGGTGTGTCTCGCTCCTCGTTTTTTTTTTTTTCGGTGGGGGCTTTTATTGCATTTATTAGAAAGGAGCAACAGAAGATAGACAGGGAAGTGGAGAGAGAGAGGGGAGATCCGAGCCACTGCGGTAAGGACTCAGCCTCTGTACGTGGGGCTCACGCTCTACCAGGTGAGCTACCAGGAGGCCCCTCCTCTCTGTTTTAATTGAACTAACGACAAACATAGTTTTAATTAGGGATGATAACCAACCTAATGGGCGGGACTAACTGGAAATTCATATGGGTTGATCAGTAGCTGAACAATACAGGAAGATTGGAGATTTTTATTTTTAACTAGTTTCCCCCCGGGGGATCAATAATTTATTTCTGATTCTGATAGTTGCTATTATTGGCAAATTATTCAGAGAACTAAGCCTCAGAGCGATGTTTAAATGTTTAAAGTCTGTCTCCTGAAATCAAACTGGATTTTTATTCCTGTAATTTTTTACCTAGTCACACACACACACACACA